CATCAGTACGTTTGACTGAGAGGTACTCATCGTTGTAGCTAGGACCTTTAAATGTGTCAACCCTGGAGGCAAAATTTTAGCTTTTTCTTTTTTGAATGACAAACACTCCTTTAAAACGTGAGTTGATTAACTTTTGTTGTCTTGAATAACAAGGTGAGGACACCTGAGCTGATGCAGCAGAAAGCAGAGCGACCTGTTCAGCCAGGCATGAGCATTGGTGGAAACAAACCTTTAACTGCACCACGCCGCCCTGTCCTGATGGTCTGGTTTATCCTTCCTCAGATAACATCACACTCATAATATCTACCTTTCAAACAGGCAGACATGAGCAACAGGGAAACTTACACAGCATCTCATTGGAGCATAGCGCACATACCAGAAGCAATCACTAGCAGACCATCTGACCACACCAGCCAGGACAGAGACAAGCACAGTTAAGAATGACTTCCAGCTTTAATTTCTCCTTCTCTTTCTATATTAAATGAATTGTCTGCTCTGCTGACACCATTAAAAGCAAACAGCTACTTAACAGAGCAGTGGCTGCCCTGCTGAGGGACTGTTTTCACAACACACTCCATGTAAAGTCATAATATTTCTCAAGTGGAGTTATGTGGGTTTTGTGGATGGGGCTCAAACAGACTTCCACAAGTAGGATCCCAGATGGGAGTGAGCTGGAAGCCCCCAGATGGAGATGAGGGGAAATCTGGAGAGTCACTCAGGGCTGTAAACAAGCAGCTTCACTTGAAAAAGCCAATAGGAAATATGTTTCATCTCATTTAATGTGTTTCTATAAAACAATGCAAGAAATACATCACTCAACCCAATAAAAAGGGGAGAAAAAAAAACAAGCTTGTTTGTTATCGCGAGAAGACAGAAAACAAACTTAGCAGAAAGTCTGTTATTATGAAAGAAATGGTGGGAAAGTTAAAGAAAAGCAGATATCCAGGCTGACTGGTTCAGACTCCACCTAAACAGCTTCCTCAGTCCGCCTCATTATCCTCCACAGCTGGAACTGCTTCTACTACAATAAAAACAGCTCTACTTTATTTTATTTTATTAAAAACTGCCACAACATTTACTCACCAGTTCATTTTGAAACTTATTCTAGCTACTTTTTCACAAAGTTAATAACTTTAAATTTGAATTAAGGGAGTCTACACTGTTTTTCGTACTAAATGTACGTAAAGAAGATAAAGATGATTATGAACCAGCGGTGGAGCTAAAGCTAGTCCGCTAGCGACGGTTATAGAAGTTTTCCAGGCAGGAAACCTTCCCAGTTTGCTCCTAGAGGTCCAGCCCTGGCAGACAGCAGCCATCCTCTGTCTGCCGGGGCTGGGTGGGGAGAGAGCCGCCACGGAATGCAGAGAGGGACGGTTGGTTACCAGTCAGGGATAATATGGTAAAAGAAAGCTGCTACTCACGGTATGGGTGCTCCTGAAGCTCCGGACAGCGTTCAGTTTGCGGTGCAGCCTCCTCCACGTAGAGACAAAAGTAGACACAGAAAAATGTCACCGCCCTGATCATGACCTCATTGCACATGGTATGGAAGGCCGATAGTGGCAAAAATTTTAACCCCAACCAGGGCTGCGTTTACACCATTACTACTACTACAGCCATTCAAGGACGGAAAAAAAAACATGGAATAAAAAAAAAAAAAAAAAAATATGAAACATACAAATATAAGAGAAAATATAGCTAATTAATAAGAAAAAAACACGGAAATTTAGGGAAATTAAGAAATTTGCAAGATTCAAATATGGACGCTTGATATACGCAGGGGCGGCGCTAGTGGTGGCCATGGCCCTTAGCTAATCATTGGCCACCCCTACCATGTTTTCCCGTCTAATACAGACGGTGGCAGCAGTAATACTCTCAAGTAGAATATTCAAAACATTTTATTTTTTGTGGTTAATGATACACCACAATATACTAACATCAAAGATGATAGGTAGAGAATTCCTGCACTTTTCAGAACTAGATTTTGTGTTATATGGGGTAAAGAGAAAAATATGTGTCTCTGCAAGTCATTGAGGACTCTTCAGTGAAATCATAGATAAATAACAATTTTATTAAAAACTTATCAAATAATCAATTTATGTAGATGTTAGTGGTTGTAAATATCCATTTTATGCAGAATGTTTATTGATACCAGAAGGTAAGGAATGACAATAATGATTGATTTATGCCCAGAACTCAAAACTAAGTTTTATCCACTATATCTTTTATCTAGAAATTACGAATGTTTAAATATCTTTGTCTATTTGTTAGCAAAGGCTGTAGGAACATATAGTTTGTCTTTATGCATTTAAGTTTGCTTCTTTATGAATAAGAAAACTCTAAAAACAACTTATGTGTTTCAGGAGTTCGGTGAAACAAACTAAATGGTATTATTCATTAAACAGGAAGATATATTTAATCCAAACCAAAACAGCAATGCGATAACTTTAAGCTAAATGAAACTTCAGTTTGACCGTTAGATGTTTTTAGTTTCAGAGTCTACAGTGTATTTTTATCTGCTTGATATGGATTTAATCTGTTGTATATCGTTAGGAAATTTAAGACATGTTTGAGGGAGCTTTTATTGTTTAATAGTGGGATAAAAATAAACTAAATTAACTGAGTCAAGAAGAGATTACACATTTTAAAATTCCCTCTGCTTTAATTTTGTTTCCCATTTCCTGATACTGTTCATATGAATCCAACTTTTGTAAGCATTAAGCCAGATTAATTCCCTTTTTATCATGTCGTTATTCATTTTAATCATCAGTAGTATATGAATATATATGACACACAGGGCATTTGCCAATTAGACAACTTCTAAAGGCGTTGGATGTTATTTGGGTTTGCCGTAGAGAAAGAGACCTAATACAAATGCTTGAGTGTCCTTTCAGATTTTTATTTGCTCAAAGTGTTAAAGGGATAATCAGAGGTGGTTGTTGTATAAATGAGTTATTCCCTCTGTCCGTCCGCCCACACAAAAGTCAACATTTCCACACCTTTCACTTTATTAACCAAAAAAAAAGCAAACAAAAGAATGCAATTCAATACGTAACTTATAAGCAACATCAGGAACCAGAAAAATGTTATTCTGATAGCCTTGAGATTAAAAAACAGAAAGAAAAGGCTTTACAAATCAGAAAAATTATTTCAAAAGATTAGTGTTGTCACGATACTAAACTTTTCAACTCGATACCGATACTAAGTAAAATATTCGATACTCGATACCCTTTT